GCCTTAATATTTAGAACAGGGTTTTAATGGGGTTCCTTAGGATAATTGATAATATAGGTTACCCCAAACCCTATTCTAATTGTTAAGGCCCCTAATTTAGGCTTTTTCAGTAACGGTTTAGGGTTTAGGGTTTAGGCTCCTTCAAGTCATAGGAAGGGGTTTAGGCTTGAGGGTTTGGGGCTGAGACTTCTTCAAGGGGCTGAGATGGGCTTTGGGTTTAGGGTTTAGGGGTTTAGGGTTTAGGGAGCCTGCTGGTTTAGGCTTTGTCGATCAGCTGCGGGGTAGCGTTTAGGGTTCCGGGCTTAAGTGTATACGGATGTCTTCCCGCATTGAAAGGGTTCAGGGCCCCTTAAGCCTAAACCAGAAACCCTAAACCTTAAACCCTAAACCCTTAACCTCAAACCCTAAACCAGAAACCCTAAACCCTAAACCTTAAACCCTAAACCAGAAACCCTAAATCCTACACCCTAAACCTTAAACCCTAAACCCCTAAACCCTATTTTTCCTAAGGGTCCATGGGCACCCTACAGGTTCCTTCGAAGGGTACTCCTAAGGATTCTACGAAAGTGTTGTGGGGTTCAGGGTTTAGGGTTTAGGATTCTCTTAAGGGTTCTATGATGGTGTTTTGGGGTTTAGGGTTTAGGGCACTCTTAAGGGTTCTATGACGGTGTCTTGGGGTTTAGGGTTTAGGGTACTCTTAAGGGTTCTATGACGGTGTTTTGGGGTTAGGGTTCCCATGCAGCAGATATACTATAATTATATGGGTGCATGGATCTTACACTGTTTCAAGCCTCGAAAGCCTTCGCCTTAAGCTACTGTTGATGATATAAATCCTGCAGCACCTCGAGGACCATAAACTATGGGAAATATGGCATATTCCTTATTATGGGAAACCCTAAACCCATATCTTGGGGTAATGTAGGCTTTAAATATCATCGACCGTAGCACGTACATGCTAAACCCCAACTCGAAACTCTCAACCCTGACACGTAAACCCTAAACCCTAAACCCTAAACCCTAAACCCTACACCCTAGGCCTTCCCATGCCCCTTAGCTCAGGAAGACCTGGACCCTGAAGAACCTACCTTTTTAGGGCTTTTGAGTTTTAGGGGGTTTAGGGGGTTTAGGGGTTCTAGGGTTTAGGGCTCTAGGGTTTTAGGGTTTAGGGGAGGGCTCCTTTTTTATGATTTCTTTATATAAGTCCTTAAAAAAAAGTAGGTTACTTGGGGGTTAAGGGATGCCTCAAATTTTAGTAGGATCCCGGACATGACCCAAGGTACACCCCTGAACTCAGGGATCTTGCATAAAACCCAAAACTCTCTTCTTCAACAACCAGGCCCAAAAAAGTTCAAACTTTTTAGGACCCTAAACCCTAAACCCTAAACCCTTTGGCTATCTAAGCAAAACCCCGCTCCCCGGAGGCCTCGCCACGGCCGTCACCAGCCTGGGTTTAGGGGTTTTTGTTTATGAGGGTTTAGGGTTTAGGGTTTAGGGTTTAGGGTTTAGGGTTTAGGGCCGCTAAACCCTAAACCGTGGCTCAAACGGTTTACGGTTTATATACAGGGGCTTGGGTTTAGGAGTTTACGCTTTACCTCTGCAACCTGAAAGCCTGGGGCCTGAATAATTATAATATGGTTTTGGGGTTCCTTCATAGTAACAATATAATAAGGAACCCCAACATCATATACGGGTTTATTGAGGCCCCTTTCGCTAGACCCTAACTACAGTTGTTACAACTTAGGGACCATCACCGATCTGTCGAGAGGGGTTCAGACCTCTTTTACTTAAGGTCTAGTACCGGTCCAGGCGCCTGAGGTCAGCGTTGTTAGGCTTGAACCTAAACCCTAAACCCATCTAGGGGTTCGGGGTTCAAGACTGTGGCCTTGAGCAAGGAGCGCAACAATCGGTTCAAGGTTTAGGATTCAGTGTTTAGGGTTTAGGGTGTTCGTAGCTTGGATGTATGGCTTGCATGCGGGCCTTGTGTCGTCATAAAGCGATGTTTCCGATATCGGGACGGCTGTTGTTGAACTGTTGTGTTTCCGATGCAGATCATCTGCAGTTGGCACCATGTACCCAAATAGATATACTTTGGCCTTAAAGTAGTCCCTATATAAGCACTTTAGGGCCAATGTATATTTGGGTACATGGACCCTTAGGGAGACCTAGCCTTGATGAGCGACTTGTTCGAGCAACTGCGCACCTTCAGGTTTTCAAGCCTTTCAAGCCTGAATCTCACCGGACAGGAGTTCTTCGATCGGATCCCCTTGTCACCGAGGGTTTCGCAGCCCTAAAGTCCCTGTAGTACCTGAAGGTTCATGGGACTTTGGCCTTTAGGACACGAAGATGTATCTGCATCACGTACCTGATTTGTAGCTGCACTGCCTAAGCCTCATCCCTAAACTCTAAACTCCACCGAATCCCAAAGACATGCCTAAGGAGATGAATGACGATGTTGTTTGCATCCTTTCCATGAGTTTGGGCTTTTGGGATTTAGGCTTCAAGTTGGTTGGCGAACCTGTCGCATGTCCACAGCGCTTCCTTAAACCGTAAGCCCTAGGCCCTAAACCTTAAACTGTACACCCTGCCAGTTTAAAACCACGGTTTAGGGTTCAGGGTTTAGGGTTTAGGGTTTAGGGTTTAGGGTTTAGGGTTTAAAAAGCTTAGGGTTTAGGGTACAGGGTACCCAGAAGGTCCACATAAACTACTACTATGGAATCAGGTCCCAAAAGACCATCCTTGTTATAGTTTTGGGGACCTAATTCCAGAATAGTAGAATCTATGGACCCTCTTGGGTATATCTCAAGCCCTTCCTAAACCCTAAACCCTAAACCCTAAATCCCTAAGCCCTAAGTCTTAAACGCCGCCAAAGGTGCCAGGGGAGCACCAAGCTCAAACACTTGGGACCATGGACGCGTCGGCCATGCATCTCCGGACCTTTTGACAGGTCCTGCAACAGAGCTCCCAAAGAGTAGGGTTTAGGGTTTAGGGCTTTTGGGGTTCAAGTACCGGTACTTAGTCGGTATTTGGAGCCCAGAAGTATATGCATATGGCTAGTTCTCTAAATTAGGGTTCGTTGTAGGGTTCTTTATAAGGGTGCTGTACTATGTTAGGGACCCAAACAGGGACACTGGCTTAGAAAATATTCATATACTATACTATTACTTGGGCCCAGTCGGTTCGACGTTTAGGGTTTAGTAGGTTTAGGGGTTTAGGGTTTAGGGGTTTAGGGTTTAGGGTTTAGGGTTTAGGGTTTAGGGGTTTAGGGGTTTAGGGTTTAGGGTCGGGGGTTTCAGGGTTCATTTATGTTCTTTCGTTCGCATGTCTGGGGTCTTGTAGGCTGGGTTTTCTCTAGGTCTCTACGTTCTTACAAGACTTTTCTTGGTTGGGTCCCAAGCGCTAAGCCCAAACGGTGCAAAGCTTTAAATCTCTTGCAGTCTAGAGGTTCTCATGGCTTTGTAGTCCGGATCTAGGAATGGAGATGGCCGCAGGCATTCGAAGTGGACGCCTTCAGGATTTTAAGGCTTATTATAGATCCGTGATGAAGCTCCGGGAACCCTTGAGAGATATGGGGATATTTGGGCAGCCTTGGGACACGTAGCCGTTTTCAAGGATCATTATCATCATCAACAACAACATCATCAACATCTTCCTCTTCCTCCTCCTCCTCGTCTCCGTGTTCTTCTTTTTCTTCTCCTCCTCCTCCTCCCCTCCTCCTCCTCCTCATCATCAACGTCGTCATCATCCTCATCAACATGAAAACCATCATCACCATCACCACCATGGTCATCCACCACCACCACCGCCACCACCACATTTGCATCGACACCATCGAAGACGTCGTCGGAATGACCAGTGACGTGGCAGCATGTCGAGGACTCCACCGGTATCATATATGAACTCCAAACCCTAAAGTCCAAAACCCTAAACACAAAACCCTGACAGAACCATTTAAGGAGGCCTTCAAAGGAACCCTACAGCCTATAAAACCCTTTAGAGAACTTAAAGAACCCGAAACTAACAGCAATGACAGTCGTGTTCGCGAATTGCCGGCCTTCTACTGATCCTCGAGGCAAAGTTCGCGCACACGGAGATGTAGTTGCCACTTACCTC